AGTTTTACTAAGCCCTCCAGGTGATTTGAAAGCATGCTAAAGTTTGAGAATCACTTGTCTATATTTTTTCATACTAAGCTTAATGTTAAGGAAATGACAACCATTTTGAAAATTCCAAAATTTAAGAGGTATGAATAAGAATAAATCAAAACAATGCTAATTCATTGCCTCACTGTCCAGAGGACAGTACCCTCTTTCCCAAACTGGCAAAATATCTAATCTGCATCCTGATTATGCTACATTAAAAAAGTAAAGTGGACCCTCTGAATCCACAGGTTCCACATCCCAGGATTCAACCAAGCATGAGTCAAAAATATGCAGGAAAAAAAYTGTGTCTATACTGAGCCTATAGACTTTTTCTTATTACTCCCTAAACAGTACAGTATAACAACTATTTATAAAGCATTTACAATGTATTAGGCATGATAAGCAATCCAGAGGTGATTTAAAGTATATGGGAGGACATGTGTAAGTTATATACAAATACTAGGCCATTTTATATAAGCAATTTAAACATCCATCCTCACATTCTGGAAGCCCCAAGAGGGTCCTGGAACCAAATCCCTGACGGATAACAAAGAATGAATGTATAACTCTGATGTGCCTTACTGGGAACTGAGGGAAATGCAAAATAGGCATAGAGCACAGAAGTCCACACTAACTCCAAAAAAAATCAGAGGCCATATTAGGAAGAAAAAAATACATTTTGAATTTTGGGCAGTAGAAGCTTGATAAATCTTGAGCCATAACTCCATAATCCTTTTTATCCTGGGCTCAACTCCAAATTTTTACAACATCAGTTCAACAAACTTCCAATTGCCAAAAAAAGAAGTTGCAGCCTTCAGAAACATTTGATTCTCGATTCAAATTACTTAAGTACACAGAACTGTCTTTCCATGAGCATTTTTAATCACAAGTAAAGGTAATCAACACCTAATTACACAGCAACCACTAACATGATCCCTGCCCCTTATTACACCTGCCCCTTATTACACCTGCCCCTAACAAAATTCTATCTGATCCTTTTCTTTTCAAAGCTATATCAAGAACAAGAATCTTTATCCCCAACCCAAGTCCTCAATTTGAGCAGAACATGTGTATTCAAATTTGCCTATTACCAATTAGGCTTTAAAAAAAAAAAAAAAAGGAAAAGGGATGGAAGAGAATGAGAAATAAGTATATTAAGTTTCCAAGAGAATTTGAGAACTTATAAGGTAAATAACTCTCTGAAGCTATTCACTTGCATATGTCATTCATTAATTTTATAAAGTTCAATTTTTATAATTTTATAAGGCATCAATTGGAAGACTAAAGAGTACCTAGTCCAAGTCTAGACCACAAGAGAGTTATAAACCTGACTTAAAATGCTCACTAACATGATTAAATTCCTTTAAAGGTGAAGAGAACCCTAGGAAGCCAACACCAGGATAGCTTTAAACAGCCTGGCCACTTAAAACAAACCACCTTCCCACGCCCATGTTCATCCAAGGGCTAGCTGCACTGCCAAAGAACTATCTAACCAGAAAGGATGTACCCTATTTATTTCTCTCCTTCCAAATCATCATCAAATCCCCTGAGAACAAGATGGCTCCAATAAACTASTTATCGTTGCTCTTCTCCCCACCCACAGCATAGTAGAACTGAAATAAACACACCTAAAGACTTTCACATTTAAGCTCCTTGCATTTGCCAGGGATACCTTCAAAATATYTTGCAAAATGCAATCATCCCAGGTTCTCCAAGAACATGAACCATTCCTTTCCCTCAAACGGGAATTGCTTCTATCAAAGCAACAGCTGTTTTCTGATCTTCCATCTGCAACCATCAGTAAAAAAAAAACAACCTGATTAGTAACAAACCCAACTAATAGTACTTATCAGAGAGAAAAGAATACTCTCAGCCTACGTAAGTAAAGCCAACAAATAGATGTTTCTCCTGAAAGAACAGAAAGATTTGAGTATGAGAAAAAAAATATTTTTACAAGCCTAGAAAAAAAATTATTTTACTTAAGCAGCTGTTTATAGTGAATAATCTTGTTACACACACCATTCACCACTTCTTTTAAAGAATCAGGAATCTAGGGACTGGGGTTGTCGCCCAGAGGTAGAGYGCTCACCTACCATGTGTGAGGCACTGGGTTCGATCCTCAGCACCATATAAAAATAAAATATTGTGTCCACCTATAACTAAAAAAGAAATATTTAAAAAAAAGAATCAGCAATCTAAAGAAAAGCAAAGCACAAGGCTTTCCACAAATAGTTTAGTACCAAATTATATAAGATTTCAACAAAACACAAAGCATTCTGTAAAAAGTTCAAGTATACATAAATAAGAAGCAATAAATCTACACTCTGGTTTGGATCCCTGACCTCAAGAAGAACCAAAAGGCTTTAGAATAGAGGTTATTTGTGAAATGACTAGCAATTTCCTTCCCTTTAAACCACCCTATCCTTCCAAATAACCTTATTCAATAAAATTTAAGCCATTCATTGCTACAATAGAAACAGCTGAACATTTTTATGCTTGTCATTGAAATGTTTATAATAATAATTTTTAAATCAGCTTGAAATCATCAATAAGCAGCATTCAGTGCACCATCTAGTGGAAGTCATGTAATGTAAAGGTAATGCAATTAATTTTTTTTTAATAAAAAGAAAAATCGCTGAAACCAAGAAAATCATATAGGTTGGAAGGGGAAACTCAGGTATGAATTCAAGCAAATACAAACAGCCAGAATCTCTTTCCAGTTTCCCACACTGCAGGAGGGCTGGACTCATCAAAAGAAAGGTTTCATCCTTAAAAATTAACAGATGATGAAAGGTTTCCTTATGGAAATTTTTTTTGCTTCAGTGCTAGAAACTAAGTTAACAGGAGAGTAAAAGTTAAGCAAAGGTGCTAAAGCATAAATCAGTAAGTTAGTGCAGGGCAAACTGACAAGCCTTGTGTCTTGTATGTTACACAAATAAGCTATATCAAAATATACCTATAATATGCTATAGATGCATCAGCATTAAAACAAAGGATTACTTCATGATTCAAAGAGTTCCATTCATTAATTCATAAAACATTTCCACATTACCCCCAAAACTAGAATTAACAAAACCTGACAACTCTATAGAGTTCCCTAAGTATTGACATCAGAGAGGTTATTCCCAACTACCCATGTAAACCTGCTCCACATTGACTCTTAAATTCCCTTGTGTGAGTCATTCTAATTAAGGAATTTTGTTACATTTTCAACCTTTCTATAAATTTATAGTAAAGACGCCCCTAAAGTCATAATCACAAAATACATCAGACTTCATTTGTATTTGCCTTTATGCAAATTATTTCAAGCCAATTATGAAATAATAGTCCTGAAATCACTTCTAAGCTAGAGATGCAAACATAAATAAGGTTCTGGATTTTGGAAAGCCCCCCAAATTTTAAAATAGAGATTCTCATAGCACTACCAAATTTTTTGTTGTGYCTGTGTGGCAAATTATCTTTGGGCAAAATTCAAGCTATGTTAGCAACTTAGGAGAAAAATGAAAAAGAAAACTAATAAACTATTTCTTTTACTTGGAAATAAACATCTTGGTATCTGACTCCTGTACATGTGAAGGAATCAGTATCCAGAAGCTGGCTTGATAGAAAGAACCTTAAATCTTGGATTTAAATCTGGGTATAAATTATGGAGGATGGTGATTTTGCTCAGTGGTAGAGTGCTKGCCTAGAATGTGTAGGGCCCTCGGTTCAATCCAGAGTACTGCAAAAATGAACAAAAAATTAAAATAAACTAGAAGTCAGTCAAGTGAGTAGGATAGACTCCTGTCATCTCTGGGGCTTTCAGTTTATGTGCCTTAAAAGTGGGCATGCTATGCACAGCCTATCTCAGTAGCGTAGGAAGATGGCATACTAAAATTGACAGAGGATATGAGCTTCTCAACCAATCGATCTAAATGAAAATACTATTTTGTAGAACATTAGTGGACCTGGACAGAGAAAATGCTCTTCAGGAGTTCTCACTGTGCCATTATTACTAAATTTCGTTGACCTTTATCATTTCACTTGTGACTAAATGGTGTACCAAGCGGGGGGGGGGGGGGGGGGGGGATGGTAATAGCAATCCAAAGTACTGCTTTATAAATGCGTCAAATCACGCATTGAATTGCCTAAGGCTTGTCTGCAAAGTAGTACCAGTGAGCAGCAGGTGCATCCCTGGATGCCTAAAGTCCAGAGATTACTTCAGAAGAGGCTTTTTTTTTTTATTTGCTGTTGTTACAAATCATAAAAAGCAAAAAAAAAAAAAAAAAAAGAAGAAGAAGAAGAAGAAAGAAAGAAAAGAAAATCACAATTCTACTTCTACCCATGGCAGAGTGATAGCAACAAGGTCCCACCCCCACAATCCTTTCAAACCTGCACAAGCATTCCTTATGAACATTACTCCCCCTCATTCCTCTCTCACCTTTCACCACTTTAGTCCAGACAAAGGTGAGTCACACTGCTGGGTCTACTTGTCATTTAAGGAAAAGCCTCCAAACAAACTCACGTTAAAGGCTAATCTTAATTCTAAAAATAATAAATAACTGAAGAGAACGTTAATGTGTACACCACCGCACTGTCAAGTGCCTGTCTCCAGAAAATGTGTAATTAACACGACCAAAGTAAAGACGCCTTTCTGGCTTAGAGAGCACACAGCTTATCGCTACTTATCAGAAGGTCCTGCAATTCCCCTCCACCTGCACATCTTCCCGCCCTCCGACCGTCGCCCCACCCGAGTCCAAGAGGGTCCCCAAAGTCCCGCCCGCGGCGGCTCCACACAACTGGCCCCGCCCCCACCTCCCCGCAAGGTGCCGCCGCCCACGCCACGGCGGGCTCCCGGCGGAGGCCGCTGGACGCTCCCGGTGACCACCGCCCCCGCCCGGTCGCCCGCGGCCAGAGCAGCAAGGGGAACGGATCTCGCCGCCAGCCGTAAGCAGGGTATTCGGACAGGCGCTGCAGTCCCAGCGCCCCATTACCTGCTCTGGTAACCGTGGTCTTAGGGAGACGCGCTGGCTCTTGCCCCTAAAGCCCGGGGACAAGTAGGCAGCTACCGGGGCAGCTGCAAAGGACAATCAGAAGCCGGCGGGCTCGGCTCCACTGCGGCGGGCGCAAAACGCACAAACCCAGTGGGAGACCGGCCCCCACCTCCAGCCCGGCGAGTAACCGACTCGGCCCCCTCCCTCGGAGGGGTGGAGACACGGTTGAGGGGCGGGGTAAAGGGCGCTGGGCGTGAGCTTCGCCGAAGCTTTGTAAGAGGCGCCCGCTAATAGGCTGCGAAAGTAGTGGGAGTCTCAAACTTGAGGGCAGCCTTTCCAACCGAACTCCCTCATTGGTCAGTAAGGGAAAACAAAGAGTAGCCCTGATTGGTGACAGCTCTGTAGCTCCTCCTCTTGCCCGCAATCCTCGCCCGTTTAGCTCCTGCCCGCCTGGTTCGCTTGCCCTTGGTTCCTCTGTCCCAGGTGGCTGCAGGATGGGGTGTGTTTGACGAACAAACAGCCTCCCTGAAGAAAACCCCGGATGCCCAAGTTCATTTGCCGGATACCAGCTTTCTTACCTCTAGGCAATTCTTTAATTTTCCTGTGAACTTGGTGAATAACAACTGATTTTAAACATCACGTGAATTTAGAGAGGTCTCTTGGTTATGCTAGAAAATGCTGCGTAAGATTCTGGTGGATATTGTCATGCGAAGAAAAGACAAATTGTTTTCACCTTTCATGAGATAATAGGTGACTTTATCTTTCTGCTTTCCATATTTTAGCATGTATTGCTTTCATAATTGAGGGGGGAAACTGTTTTGTAAGAATAGAAAAATGAGTAAAATGTAGAGAAAGGTAAAAATAAAAACTTGGAGGATAAGCAGGGAACTAACTGATCCAACTGTAGCAGAAGAAAACACAGTAAATACACTTAAAATCTGAGCACTATCAAAAAACATGAACTGGTACCAGCCCACTTCAGCTCTCTTAAAAAAAAACTTAGCAAACATGACTGAGGTACCCCATTTCCTTCCTGAGTAACCACTATTTTTGCAGCTCATAATATAGATAGCACTACAATGAACACAGCTTTTATTATAGAAAAACACCTTCATAGGAAAAGTTTGGAATCCAAAGTACAAAAAAAAAAAAAAAAGACTACAGAAATAAATTCAGATGTGAACTGGAAAGCTTAGATAATGGAGGGAAAGAAAAGAATGTGACACAGGCTTTGAAAATTAAAAGCTGAGGGAGGGAATTGAGATAAGGATCACTGGTAACCCAGGCTGGGTGTCATCTTGGCCAGTTTAGAAGGGAGTGAAGTTTATCTCATCTAAGGACCATTCTAGCACAGTTCTCTCCTGCTGCCTTACCATTCTTTGTTCTTGTCATTCTGGTGAAGTTCTAAAACAAGCTGTATGAAATTAAGCACTTACTTCCTCCAAAACTGAATTATAGAACAGTGAAAAAATAGAGATTGACAAAAATCAGATTTAGCGAAGGAAAGGAATGTTAAGGTAAACATCAACTTGAAAAGAAGCAAGGACAAGAAAGCTGATTCAAAGAGCAGGACAAATCCTTTTTCTCTTACTTCCTGAGAATAAACTTTGTCTTTGGAGGACAAAGTAACCACATTTCCTAAAGGCTTTTGACAGAACCTTTGAAATAAATGGAATCCTAAACAATAGTCTGAAAATATATGACCTGGAGTAAGTACTCTAAGCAAGTAACTTAGTGTTCATATCTACTTAATTTTAAATCATCTAAGGAAAAAAGGGAACTTAATGTTTCCTAGTATGAGCAAAAAAGGAAGAACACAATACAAAAGTCTTTTCTACAATAACACCTGAAATTCCATCACTAACTTTCTTTCATTGGGATTAAATAATATGTATCTAAAATGCTTTTTTTATTCATTGACTCACCAAGCATGTAATCAATATTAATTCTCTAATACTAAGCACTCAGAATGTAGCTTTGAAGTAGACAGACTTGATAGGCTATTCTCATTAGTACAAGAAGAGAGATAATGAATGAATAAATAGGTTAATTTGCAGAGTGGTTCAAGGACAAAGAAGAAAATGAAAAAGTGACCAGAAAATAGTTTATTTAGGAACAGGAATAAYTTTTCAGGTATGGCACATGCCTGTAGTTCCAGATACTCAGGAGGCTGAGGAAGGAGGATTGCTTGAGCCCAGGAGTTTGAGGCCAACTTGAACAAGATCCTGTCTCAAAAATAATAAATAACTTTCCTTGCATCACAAACTTGCCTAGCATGGATGGGCCCAGAATGTTGAAATGCTTTATTCTAAGATGTGAGCTGCCACCTAAGTGAGGAAACACCAGCTTTGCAAAATTCCAGAAGAGAGTAAACAGTAAGGGCAAAAACCAAAAAAGAAAAGGGATGTATCGGAAGAACAGGGAAAAGGCTATTAAGGATAGACTGGCCTAAAAAGGGAGTGGTATCAAATAAGTCAGAGAGGGAAGAGGGCCCCTTGATATGACAATGGTAAGAACTAGGATTCCTAACAGGTATAACATGAAGTTTCCAATATTGGAGTACAATCATATTTCTTTTTTTTTTCTTTTTCAGAGTAATGACAGAAATAGATATTCATTCATTAAGTCAGTCCATCAGGCATAGATCTATGAAGAACTTACTGTTTGCCAACCAAGAGATTAGATCTGGGGATATAACAATGACAAACTATTACTGTGCAAATGATGAAGAAATTAAAGGTGCTATAGGCCCACAATCTTGAAAGGGCCAGCTTTTTCTGGAAATTACTTCAGTTGAATTCTAGGCACCCAGTACTCTCCTTGGTACTAGCTTGAAGTTGCCATTTCCCTTTAAGGTCTTCTACTAATTTCCCTTTCCTGTCTGAAATATGCCTGCATAACCTAAGTTTATTTAAAAAGCAAAAGCACTTGCTCAGTTGGTAAATGTCAATGAACAATCCCACTGTCACCAGCTCAGTGAGATCAATATGTAAAACACCCAGAACTGGTGGAATATCAGGAAGCAGGAGCCAACCATTGTCTGCAGTATCCTATCAATAAAGAGTCAGTGGGAGGAGAACTGCCCGTGCCCTGGGGCAATCCCATAACTTTTCTAATGGCTATTAGGTATTAAAATCCTTTGGCCAACTAAGCTCCAAAATACAGTTTTAATTCAGAAATTTAAATCTCAATGCCAACATTTTGATCAACACTTCAAGCTACATCCAAAGGTAGGCCCTTCTTCCCAAGACTTCCCAACTAGGGTCAATGCTGACAGGCCAGGTACTCCCAGAAACTGGAAAGGACTCCATGTCTTTATCCCATAGACCCTTCTTCCAATTCATAATGCAAAAAGCAGGAAGAATACTGGACTAGCATATTTGTCCAGTATTTGTGTTTAATACTATCACCAGGATGGTTTGCTCTGAGCCTGGCCAATGGCTAAAACTTACAGTTTCCCTCTTGGATGTTTTTGGACATTCTTAGCGACCTGCACCTCAAACATCTTGTGTGCACCTCTCAGAATCTGGGCAATGCAGTTTTCTCTGGAAGCCTCCTCCTCCTTAGTTTCTGGTTCCCTGCAGGCCACATCCTATAGATTCTCCCGCTGAGGAGGAGGGGAGGAAATGTTCTCCTGGCCTCTCCAGGTGTTCTTCTTGGGTAGGATTTAAACATCTCCTCCAGCCCAGCTCTCTGTAATTAATGGCTCTTATCTGGTCCTCAAGAAACACTCAGACATATTTTCCCCGATCTGTGGATGGGCAGCTACACCCAGTGCAAAGCCATTTTCAGCATTCTTTCTCCTTCATCCTCCCCACTCCACCCCACCTCCACTCCACCCCACCCCCACTGTCTTAAACCAATACCTTTAGTCTCTTATTCTTGAGATTTGTCAGGTCGATGTCAGAAGCTCCAAATAGAGTACATCAGTCAAGTTGCCCTAGTGGTCCTACTGACACCCCTGTCTAGTGAGTTTAAGAACAAGATCTTGAAGGGGTATTGATGCGACTCATAGCATTGCCTTCTTCAAAGAAAACTCCTCATTAGGTCCTTTCCAAATCACCATACCCTTCACCTTTTATGTTGAGTGAAGGGGTTTTAAGACTCACTAAGTGTTAAATTTCCTTTGCAGATTTGCTTCCTGTTGCAGCAATTTATTTTAGAATTTCACACCTATTGTTTCTTATGGGCCTCAGTCAAAATTTCACTTACATCTTGTCATACTATAAAACACTTTTGGTTAACACCAAGGGCATAGAGTAAAGAAAACTTGTTCTCTAAAATCATGATGTCAGACACATTGCTGTTTGAATCTGAGTTAGAATGGCAATCCCTTTTGCTTGTGGCACAGGGAAACAACCTTGATTTCCAGCCTAGGGAATGATATTCCTTCGGTTCCAGGATTTGTATTCTGTCTTTATTTTAAATTTATTATTTCCAAAGAAATAGTACTCTGAATCTATCTTTGAGGCCAAACCTCATGTGAATAAAAATATTATTAAATGTTAATAAAATAATTATAGCCTTGTTCTGCTTTGAGTCTATCCCAAGACTTTCCTTCAAATGCTACCTGAACTCCAATCCCTCCCCAAATCCTACAAGAACTCTGTCTTTGTTTGGCAAGGGTCCTTGTCACACTCTTCTGTATCACAAGTTCATAAGCTCAACCAAGTTCAATTGCAGGCTTTTCTCTGGTGCGGTGTGACTGTTGGACTTTATCATTAATGACCCAGTCTTCACTGTAGAGGTTACTACTCCCGGGTTCTGTATTCCAGTCTGCATCTCTTTAGGCTGCATCAAGTCACATAAACCATTACCACCATTGTACCATCCATCACCAGAGTCATCCAGAATCCTGCAATTATAGTAATGTCACAATTACTACACCATAAACATGCATATRCAGAACAGAAACACCTGGGGTTTGCAATGAAAGAAGAAACTAGCAATTCCCATATATTATTACTTTGCAAGGATATTAAAATTATCTGAGGGGCTTTTTCAAATTCCATAAACTGTAAGATACTGGTAYAATCCTTTCTGCTTATTCTCTCCCCAGATATATGTTCCTAGCTGTTATCAGATCAGTAATTCTACTAAAGATGGTAGAATACTATCAGGTATGTTTGGGACAAGGTTAGAAACTATCCCTCACTAAACCTATAAACCCCTTATCAAAATTCTAAGTT